GTCTCTTGTCCAAAGTAAGGCCAATGCGCTTCACAGCATTGGCTGTAGACAGAATTAATTATTATGCAAACTGGTGGGTAATTGAGGTTACGCAGAGACCAGAGTATAAGTTGCCTGTGTAACTGCTTAGAAAATATATTAAGAGTCCAAATAAATAAAGAACAATTTCAGTTGTAGTACGTAGAGTGTGCTTTACTCGATCCATGATTTATTTATAGTTATTGTTTTTAAAACCGCAGTGTTGATGGATATATGTCTTTAGGAAAATGTTTAAGTTTAAGACCCAGCTCAGTACGTGGATTGATTTGTATACAATGTATAAAGAAACGTTTATTTCTACATGAGGTCACATTTTAGTTTAGTCCAAAGTAAGACCAATGTTAACTTAACTGCACTGGCTGTAGAAAGGATTGCATTATTAAGCATGACTGGGTAATCGAGGTTACGCAGAGACCATAGTATAAGTTGCTCAAGTTGCTTATAGACTTTGGTTCATTAATTTTTATTTTCTATTGGCTTGATCACAAGGTAATCATATTTAAAATGGGTTGGACGTTGGTATCGAGAAAGTGTCTTAAAAATGTTTTTTGTATATTGTGTGTAAATATTGAATAGACAAAAAGGGCGACATCGCTTTGCTGTGCTCTGTTTCGATATAAAGTAGATTAACTGGAAATCCGTCTAACGGAAAATGATACATTAGTTAGGTAAAACTTTTTTCGTTTGAACAGAAGGCCAGAACGTCTTACAAGACGTGCGCATTTTACTTAATTAAAAGTAACAACTATAATTAATTTATAGTTAAAAAAAAAACACAGTGTTGATGATGTACGCTGGAAAATGTTCAAGTTAAAACTTTTGAAATAAATAAAAATTGAAATAACTCTAACATTGTTGCAATGTTTTAATGTTGCGTCGATAATAATAAACATATTGTTAAATCAACTATCCTTGTAAAATATTACACTTTCACGGAAGAACAAATTACAACTCTATTGGCACGGCTCCTACACCACTAGATTTTTGGCTGCCATTACAATTATTCATAAATCCTTTCTATTAACTTGGAGTATCTATGTATAATACACATATCTATGTTTAATCAATGGTACATAACATTCTAGAAGAAATATTGCATTTGCAGTTGAACATCCGTAAGTAAAGCAGTTGAGAATGAACTTCCAGGAAATATAATATTAAGAATGGAAAACACATTTTTGATGACCGTTGAGGACGCCTCTCCCAATGTTGCTGAAGTCGTTAAAGATGGAATAAAAAACTGCGATAGTAACATGTCTGTAAATATAAATGACGGAGTTCCTAAGTTCAGTGGCCGTCAAAATATCATGACCTACGACTGTGGGGATGTCCACAAAGACAAGATGCTATATCATGTAAGTTGTTTAAATCTGTAAGTATAATTAATTGTTTTAATTCAGCTGATGCCACAGCCAGGTGATAATGCTATGCAAACACAAGAAATGTATTGGATGCAAAAGTACAAATGTTTAGAAGAAAAGTACAATAAACTTCAACAAGATTTTAATAACTATCGAATCCTTAGAAAAAGTCCTTGCAAGTCTGCTTTAGTATACCTAATATAAATTATATTAACTTGATGTTTTTATCGATGTGCAAATTATGAGCTTTTGAATCCTTTTTTTTTTTTTACATAAATTATTAACAAACTAATCTTAAGTTTTGTTAGGCGTTCAGGACAGTTATCAACAATGCAATTTGTATGGAACGGAAAAATGTTCTAAATACGTCCAAACCGAGCCTGTGCTTTTTAATAACCATAGAAAATTTGTTCCTGAAAAACTGTTTCCATTTAACAACGAATATTTAGTAGATGGTCCCAATAGAAGGGTTAATAACTTGACTTATGATCTAGTACATGGTGAAGATAAGCCGGATTTAGATAATCATCGGTGGAAACACGAAGGAAGCTTAGATAGAGACTTTTACGAGCTGAAGAAATCAAGACTAGAAGCTCTTATGAAACGCGTTGATTACGATACAAGTCGTGAATATTTTCTGTCGTCTTTTTCGCCAGCAAATGGAATAATTATTAATTTAGTACTTGGAAAATTAAAAGTAAACGAGCTGTTTAAAAACAATGATTTGTTGGATCAAATTAAACTCGACGTCAAAAATGTAGTAAATAAAAGACTGGAAGATTATTTTTCAGGCAAAGATAATGTTTTGACTCGGGAAAAGAACTTTGTCAACACTTCGGTAACAAAATTATTTTATATTTAAATATAAAAATTAATGTAATTTGTATTTTTTTTTTTTTTTTGCATAGAGCTTAAATGAAAAATATGATTCCACTAATAAAACAACAGCTGCCAATAATGAGGTTGCAGAAAAAAAACACCTCGAAAACAATGTTACTGTTATTTCAAAACTAAAAAAAACTTTGCGGTTTAAAAAACCTTTGTCGTCTGGTAAATGATTTAAACAATATAAACTTACTTTTCCTCTAATTATTACTTTTTAGACATTCAATTATACATATTTCATAGACATTAAAACATGTGTTGATTATTTTCATAAAAAAATATATATATAATTATGATACATAGGTACATAGAAAGATATAAACTGTATTCTTAACACTATTTAATTGTGATTTGATATTCAATTGTCATTTGTTTTGAGACATATGGATGTTTATTTTTTTTTTTTTATTAAATTCTACTTTTGTTGTTATTTTTTTAAGGTAGTTCTATACACACTGACATATTTTTAATTGAGTCTAGCCGGCTTCGATGATTTTCAAACAAAATAATTTTAATAATACAGACAGGTTTAATTTGTGTTTAACTTTATCGAAAAATCAAAGTCCTCTAACTTCGAAAAAGTCTACAAGTTCATGCCACCCTATTAAATTGTTAAATCGTCCATTACAATATTTAAATCAGAGTACCTACAGTTTTTAAGTAAAAAACATTAATATTTTTAGAACCTGTATTACTTAACGATATTACATATTATACACTATATCAATAATTGTAAAAAATGTTTGTGCGTTGGTTCGGTTTAAGATTTAAGTATAGATTAACAAATAATAGTAATAGTATCGTAATAAGTTAGATTAGGTCATCATTAATTACATCATTGCAAAATAAATTCTTTTTTGCACTATCCCAAGTCAATTTTTACTATCAATATTTTAGTCAATTTATTTTTTACTAGGCTGTATCAAAAAACTAACATATAGGAAATATATTTCTCCAACAAGTCTCCAAGCGCTGACTGTCACTTGTTGGACACTCCGTCACATCGGGCACCCTCTCTAAGCAGAAAATTGAGAAAATCAAAGAGTAAAACTTAAAAGAGTAGGTAAAACAAACTCTCATAGGCGACCGAACTGGTCAAGCGTTTAGGGAATAGCAAATCTTTTCAAAATATTATTTTGCATCTATATAAATATCTATCTATGTAAATAAACTGGAAATATTTTATTCTGGGATTTCTTGTATGATGTGTAAGATGCATCAGTTCTTACCACGTTTGCTCAAATTCTATGAACCAAGTGTTTTCCTAGGTATTTGATCAAAACGAACACATTTTTCAGAAGATAACGCAAAAGTCCCGGTGAGAACTTTGAAAAAAACGAACTTTATACAAGAAATAAACAACTTTATAGTAGGTATCTTACAAACGACATTAGGTTCCAATTTTCAGTACCAAATACAACCGGTGAATGGAAACATCTTGACATCACTTTGTTATCTAATCCTTAGTGCACTGTTCAAAGAGACAAATATTACATTAGTACCATTTTTTATTAAACAAAATTGTTCTTTTATAACTGTAAAAAAATAAAGTGTATTTTTATTTTTATAATTAATTCTCTCCTATATACCAAATAATTGAGTACTTAATAGATGTACTCAATGTATTTTTCCATCAATTTTTTTTTTGTCGGTTTGTTATAAATATCAAATCAATTTTAATAATTGGTGATGGATATTTTTTTTTCTGTACTTAAATAAAAAATATAAAATATGTATATATAAAAAAAAATATGCTGTATAAAAATCATTACAAAGTAAATCCTATAATATTCATAATTTTGTAAATTCATTGTAATATTCTATCAACGGCCGGCGGAAAGATATATCGTTCAGAACTAGTGTCAGAATTCAAAGATGCGATACCACCCAAAGATTCGACCATCAACGAGTGTGAGTATTATTTTGATGGCTTAGTGCACACTTGTTATAACTTATAAATCATAAAATTGAAATTGTTCATGAGAGAGAATTAAATTTTTTACTTTTAATAAGATTTTATTACAAAGTTTTCATTGTAAATGTAAATATCACAACAAATATAAATTTGAGATTTGAATAATTTTTATAAAAAAATAAAACGCATTCAATGTTCTATCGATTGGTATCAAAAAGTGTATTTTGGAATAAAGTGGACTAAGCCGTCGATTCGAAACAGTTTACTTTTCAATACTGTTTATTTTAATCGCACCGACTATTCAAATTACTTACGGGGTTGGTACAAATATTATCGAGACTAAAGTAGGCTAGAAAAACGGTTTGTGTTGTATGAAAACCTGTATTTTCTAATCAGCTATTGTTTCAATATTAAACTATAACAAACTAATTTATTTAACACGAGTCGTAACAGTTTAAATGTGCAAAAATTTAATCTGAGATAGGTTATATTGATCAAATTTTCATAATTAACGTTTTATTTAAGTTGGGAGATGCAGTAAGCACACGCTTACTTATTATATTATTATGTATTTATGTACTTATTATATGCACGTCATTACGACATACACTTTTCAGGTTTCACATTATTTCCTTGACTAGCTGTTTGCAACCTGCGTAATTAACTACTTTGTCATATGTCGTTAATACTAGTTTCTCTTGTTTTCTAAACCTATTTTATGTTGTTTGTTACAATTTACTAATTTACATATTACTATATAAACTTATCTATTTCTCTGCACAATTGTCAGTCTTCAGCCAGTCAGTTAAAACGCAGTTTACACAGTGCTCATTAAAACAGTTTAAGTTATTTTTCAAAAAGTGTTTTTATTTATAAAAGTCTACATTTGTTTCTCATATACTTTATGTACCTATGTAAAATCCCTTTCCGGGCTTACTACATAAATATTTGGTGTCAAAAGTTCGGACTGCGATCTTCAACCTGCGTTCTTCGCAAACTGAGATGAACACCACCGTCGTTCGAAGCACTGACATCCTGACAAGTCAACACTGTCCCTAACGTTGAACGACCGACCATCGTCTAACGTTAGCACAGCACCGCCAGAAGCTTCCATTGCTCCAGCGAACCGCAAAACCCAAGTCGTTCTTGGTCAACGCAAAGCATCTTTGCAAGTAAGTCGTTGTTAAAACCCAACTCTGTTATGTCGGTGCCAAGTTCACGGACACTTGTCAGTCACCGCAAAATCCAAAAATGATTTTTCGGTCAACGCTCAGATTTTATCTGACCGCTGGGAAACCCGAGTGGGGTTTTTTTTTTTTGTTAATAAAATACACTCGGTCGACGATAAAACGTCGCAGTGTTAATTACATTCGTGTAATTAACAGTATCTCATCCGAACACGTTGTCACGGAAGCAGTCAAACAAGATCACGGAGAAATCAACGACAAATCCACTGGCAAGCAGTTGAATACGACGAGGACCTGTTGCGGTTAAATTAATTAAATTCGATTCTAAGTACACTAAAATGGCAGAAATTCTCAATTTCAATGACGCTATTAAAATGCTACCGAGTTTTTCGGGTGGTTCCGAAGGTGATCTGGCCTGTTTCGAATCAAAATGTAAATTTGTTATGGCCGACATAGATAATCAATAATACGGTGATAAATTAACAAATAACCACTGGTTTTTAGTATGTGATTTGTGAAAAATAGAATAAGATAAATTTAAGCGTTGGAGGATATGACAATTAGAAGGAAAATATCGTGGACTTTGGAATAATGTGATCTCACAAGTAGGTTTTAAATTTGTAGGATGTAGTATTTGGATTTCTGGACATAGCAAAAAAGAAGTGGATGTCTTACATCTTAACAGGTCCAATGCGGGGTAACTAGTATAATACCTATTCATGCGATCTGCTTATAGCTAAATAGTGGGAAGAAGGTTTAACATAAACATATATTTTATTACTGAATACAATGTTAAATGAGTTTGATAAACTAACGGTAGTTTAATTAAAAGTACAATACTGTTATTAGTAGCAAATATACTCAAGTCTGATAATTGTATCAGTTCGGCCAAATTTTGATCACTAACACTGACAGGTAAATCTGTCCCTGATGGAACAGAAACCTTGATATCTCTTAGATTGTTAATAAATTCTTGTCTATTTAATAAATAAGGATGAATATGTCCTGTCGAAGCTTAATTTAATACGTCTGCTGAGATAGTTGTGTTGTGCATGTATGCACCAAGAATTAATTTAACGTGAGTATTATGGTCTCCCATAATGTTAGCAAAAGAATATTCTGACATTTCCTTACTCATATTAGACATTGAAGTTGACAAAAAAGAAATAGAAAAATTAAGAAATGTATGTTCTTTTTGTAATAATTTAATAATTTTAGTTTGTTTTCTTAACAAGCTTTAAGGTATTTATATTTTGGTTTTCTAGTGTAGATATATATTTTCGTCACAAACCCCAAATAAATTATTATGATATATTATTATAATTTATTAAATGCCATGCGCTTCGACAAGGTTAATTTGTCTCCCCTGCTTTGGGAAAGGCCCAATGCAGAAGCTACAAATATCCTGTTTTGACCGAAGCTCAGAAATTATAACGTAAAAAATGCCATTGTGATGCACATCATATAACCCTTGATTGATATAATTTTATTGTTTACTCCCAACAGGTCCAATAACAACCGGTCGAACTCACCACACCATGTGACTATAATATTTTGTCCTATGTTATAACTGATATAAGATATAATAAAGCTACTATTTAAGTTTGCCTTTCCTTCAAAAAGGCTGTCGTAAAGTTCATTAAGCGCTGCTGCTAATTATTTATCCGGTTTATTTTTAAAAATTCTTTCTAATATGATTACGGTTGGTTTTAAATGTTTTTGTATGGAAAATAGTTCTTGCGACATATCTAAATGGAAAATAATGGGTGTACCAGACAATTTTTGTACTGAATACCGCTGTAAAGAGTTGCTGATAGCTCCTGATATTAAAACAAGATTATTTTTGTTAAGATTAGTAAACTCGAAGTCCACGACTAAGAAGTTGACTTGTGGTCTAAAAAAAAAAAATAAAAGTAAAAAAATATTATATAATTGTGAATAATGTTATTGTCGACAAGAATCTTTTGCTAATGAAAGATAATATAGAAACAAAAATGCTTAATAACTTATAATGGAAGAAAAAAAAAACAAAATTTAATGAATTCGTTCATTAATCTTTATTGTTTAAGATATTATACAATTCTTCAGTTTTTAGCTTTTCAAAACATACTAGTTTTTTTAGTTTATCGGTTTTATTTCCGAAGATGTGGAGTAGTTGTTTTTCGGGTATAAAGGAATTTTACTGTATATAAAAAAAAATTTTGAATTTTAGATTTGAGCAAGAAAATACGACAAGAACTAGTAATGCGGGATAGAGAGAAGAAGAAAGAAAAATAATAATTGTTTTAATCGTAAAATCTTTTTATGTTATTGACGTGAACCCGTTTTTCACGTATTCCTTGTAATATAGTAACGTTTCCGTTATGTATGTATTTGTGTAGCGATAAATGGACCCAGCCAAAGGTCCTCTAATGAATGCTTTTTGTTTTGGTTTTTTATTAGAATCTTATCTCTCACCTGAAAAACCGGTTCGCGTGCGGATTTGTCATAATAATCTTCGTTTTTATTTTTTTATTTAAGAAGATTATCAAAATGATATCCTCCTTCCTACTCCTGTCTCTCGTGAATATTATATTGATGTAATTCCCCTTACAAATATTGTACCTCTTACCGACAATTCATTAATTAATTTAACCTATTACAGTACTTTCTGATTATATATCTATTCATAATCTTAACGATTTATTAAAACTAAAATCAAATTATATACAGCCAGAGCACGTTCGATCGTACTCTCTTTTTATTGCAGTTCTTATTATATTATTAATTGGTAACCTAATTTTCTTTCTTATTTTTATTACTGTCAAATTACTCACTAATAAAACACCCACAATCGAAGGAACAGCAGAAGAATTAACTGAACTTCATAATAATACAGATGATTGTAATAATACAGCTAACCATTACATTTCACCAATTGTTTTAAATCCCAACTCTTCTGCAACAAATGTAGTTAATACAAGTCACTATGACATACCTCATTCTAGTACTATGTACTCGGTCTATCCGAGACTTTAATTTTTTATGTATTTGTTTTGTTTAATTGGTATTAACTATTGTTTGTATATATATACTTATGTATAGGTGATGGATGTTATTTTAGATTAGTATTGTTTACTATTATCTATCATTGCATTATTGTATTATTATTATTGTCTATTATTGTTCTTCTCTGTTTATTTTTTTTTTTGGGGGGAAAACCCATTGTTTTCAATGTATTTTCCATTTTGTGGTGAGGGTGTAGTAAGCACACGCTTACTTATTATATTATTATGTATTTATGTACTTATTGTGTACTTACGTCATTACGACATACACTTTTCAGGTTTCATATTATTTCCTTGACTAGCTATTTGCAACCTGCGTAATTAACTACTTTGTTATATGTTGTTAATACTAGTTTCTCTTGTTCTAAACCTATTTTATGTTGTTTGTTACAATTAACTAATTTACACATTACTATATAAACTTATCTATTTCTCTGTACAATTGTCAGTCTTCAGCCAGTCAGTTAAAACGTATGTTACACAGTGCTCATTAAAACAGTTAAAGTTATTTTTCAAAAAGTGTTTTTATTTATCAAAGTCTACATTTGTTTCTCAAATACTTTATGTACCTATTAGGGTGGTTCTTATTTATGAACTTTTAAAACTTTAATGGGCTACTCCGCCATTTTGTTCATTACTATGAAAAAAAAATTTGGGTAGAATTTGGTTTTGATAACTCACCCCCTTCACGTGCCGCAAGGGGGTTGAAAAATGACCAAATGGGGTAGTTTTATAGTTTTTTTGAGTTTAAGTAGAAAGCTATTGCATTTAGCATAAAACTATGTAGTTTTATGCATAAAGTTAATATGTATTAACTTTATGATAGATCATTAAATTCTCTATAAAAAAGGTTCTTATACATTTTTCAAAAAATGCATTATTGTCCAAGAAAAAAAATAAAACATACCTTTTTTTTATTTATTTGGTAAAACTGGTTTTCTACGGTTATTTAAATATGTTTGATGAACGATTGGAAATAGAGTAAAACGCTTTTAATGCATTTTATACAAAATTAAATTTCCTACAAAATAGATTATTAGGAAAAATTTCATACGATCAACCATTTTTTATTTACAGATCGTTTAAACAAATATATTGTGAAAAACGAAAATTATCGTTAGAAAAAAATATATAGAAATCGACCCGGGAACAAAATAAAATAATCATATATTTTCCTATAAAAAAATGTTTGTCTCTTCAAATACCTACTGGCCGGTGGCTAGGTGCTATTTATAATATAACTTATTTAGTACATATATTTTATATAAATAAGTTTTGGAATACATATAGCCTGACAATGTCGGTATTGTATTATGGTGACGATACTTGTCGATCTAATCGATATTAGACAAGGTAGCATTTAGTGTAATACTAATGATTGCTACAACTTGTTTATAATCTTCGTAAAGGTTCCATCGATAAGACATTATTTTACGTGCAACGACATTATTTACTGAATTTGAACCAGACGGGTTTCGTCGTTGATGCCGTAAAGTAATTCTTATTTAATAATTGTAATTACCTTTGTGAACTTCGGAAGAAATTAATAAGTGACTACAACAAAGTGTTAACAAAAGACGAGGATCAGAAACAATTTTTAATGCAAACCATATATGATTATCGTCGACGGTTTCCTGATGCTAAACGAAAAACATTAGAAAATGAATATTAACTTGGATAATGCTTTAATTTATTTATTCAAATAAAATATTGAAATTATATAGATATATTAAATTTAATTTTAACAAAATAACTTTTTATGTGATGTGTACAATAAAATAAATATTAGCTAAAATGTATTTGTTTTTTTTTAAATAATAGGAAAAATATGATTATTTTATTTTGCTCCCGGGTCGATTTCTATATTTTTTTTCTAACGATAATTTTCGTTTTTCACAATATATTTGTTTAAGCGATCTTTAAATAAAAAATGGTTGA